TCTATTTATCTAAATTTTAATAATAGAAATTGAGGCTTTTAAAAAGTTATAAATATTTAGATAAGCCTTTATATATATATATATATTAAAAGAGCTAGTTATTATAAAAGTAATCTTATATTAGTTTTTTTTAATATAATAGAAAAAGCTTTTATTAATATCTTTTTTAGAAGTTTTAAATAATAATAATAATAATAATAATAATAATAATAATAATAATAATAATAATAATAATAATAATAATAATAATAATAATAATAATAATAATAATAATAATAATAATAATAATAATAATAATAATAATAATAATAATAATAATAATAATAATAATAATAATAATAATAATAATAATAATAATAATAATAGAAGTAATAAATAGCTTAATTTCTGAATTAAGAATATTTAATTCTTTTATATCTAGTTTTATCTAAAATAAAATAAACTAATATAATAGATTCCTAAAAAAGATCTAATCTAATTAGATTATTTTTAATAATATTAGTTTTATTTTATATATATTTTATTTTATTTTAAATAATATTAATAAGGAATTATATAATAGTAAAGCTTTTATAATTTTATTTAATATAAATACTATTATATTAAAATTAGATTTAAAGACTTTTATAATAGCAGGAATAAAGTAATGGAATAATACTTAAAGATTAATAATTTCCAATATTCTATAGAATCTAAAGCTAAGGAGAGAAGAAGTAAGGTATAGTAGTAGATAAGTAGGTATAGCCAAGACTACGAAAACGCCGAGCTTTGGAAGCGAGCTTGGTTTAAACCATAGCTTGGAACCTTAGCTAAAACCATTCCTTTGGCTAAAACTATATCTGTATTAACCATATAATATTAGCTGTTATATTACTCCCCTCTCTAAAAAAGCTTGACCCCGAGCACCAGGATATTAAGAGAGTATAAAAGAATAAAGGGAAGGCTAAAGCGAGTATAATAAATTAATAGAATAAAGGAAAAGGACCCTATTTCCAATTACTAGCCGTAAAATCAGCCCTCTATATATGGTTAAAAGCCGGATCCAAGGTTGGCCCTCATCTAGAATTACTAGAATTACTAGAATTATCGTAATAGTTAATTATGGCAGTTATTACCTATTTATAACCAGAACCAGAGGAAGTAGTACTTACAGGAGCCAAGCTATAATTCTTAATAAAGTAATTCTGGGAGCCGTATCTAATATATCTGCCGGTTTAATAATAATACTAGCGGAGCTTCTTTAAGGTAGAATAAGCTAGTATAGCTAGTGAGATTGGCTCAGAGAATGATGTAAGGGTACTAATTACCGGTATAATAATATTAATTATTAGTTTACTAATGTCTATAGGGTTACTGGCAATTCTGGGAGCAATAACGTATGGCGGAGCGGCTGTTTTTAACGAGAGCTACTAAACCATATGTAGGAAATCGGCATAAACCCTGGGTAGAACAAGCTACTAGGCTAGACGAGAGCGAATTGCAGAATTAAGGCTATTGCAAAAGCTGGAAATTTTATTAATGTCTGGCTAGCTTTGACTATTCGCTTTATATAGGGTATATTTAAACTTGGTAATATAGGCAAGAAGGAAATCATTGCCTTGGCGGAGGATATAAAGCTTGTCTTTAGCCTCCGATTACTTATTTGGATTATTATATACCCGTAAAAGCTAATCTAGGATTATTTGGTAGTCCTATAATTAAGTATGCTCTATATAGGAGAGCTATAGCAGAACCATTAATTAGATAGAAGACTCTAGATTGAGGTAAACGTAGTAAAACTGGGCAGTAGAGTCCCTAATTGCCGATCTATTAATAGAGAGCTTGGCCTTAATTAACGGGAGCCAGGTATCGAATCTGTATGTACTTCTAGTGAATTTCTCAGGGTTAGGGAGCTTTGACTTTTGACTGGATTTCGCCGTAGAGACAGTTAACTGGGCTTGGGTACTAGCAAGGGCAGCTCGCAAGGTAGTGATTTTAGCCCGTAAACTATTGAACTCGCATTAAACTTGCGTTTGGAAGGTATCTATTCTCAAGGAAGTATAGGTAAAGTTAGTACTAAAAAATTAATGAGGTGGTGAGCCAGGGGCTCTAATAAATAATAAGGGATTGAGCTGGCCAAAATCGAGCTTTTTAACGCCTCGCTAGTAGAAAGACTGTGGGCAGCGCTACGTAATAATAATAATAATAATAATAAGAGGGCTCCGTATGAAAGCGGGCTAGTAGACAGGAGTCCTAATAAATAATAATAATAACTACCGTCCGAAAGGTAGGAGCTTTAGATTATGTAATGGCAGAAATAAAATAATAGAATAATGCTTAAAGATTAATGATTTCCAATGTCCTATAGAATCTAAAGCTAAGGAGAGAAGGAGTGAGGTGTGGTAGTGGATAAGTAGGTATGGCCAAGACTACTGAAACGCCGAGCTTTAGAAGCGAGCTTGGTTTGAACTATAGCTTGGAACCTTAGCTAAAACTAATTCCTTTCGCTGAAACTATATCTATATTAACTATATAATACTAGCTATTATAACTTTATAATAATATATAGCTAATTTAACTAAATATTATAATATTAAAGTTCTTAAAATTATTCTAAAATAAATTCTATAAATTATTATTACTTTTTTATATAAGATATATTAATATATTTTAATAATTAAATATTTCTAAAAATTACTTTCTTATTTCTTAATTAGCTTCTTTTTTTTATTAGTATTTATATTAAATCAAGTTTAGTTTCTTTCTAATATATATATATATAATTTATACTAAAAGAAGTTTAAAAGTAAAATAGCTTATAGTAAGTTTATAAAAAGAATTTAATAATAAAAATATTAGAATATTAAAATAAATATTTTATTCTTAAAAATTTCGCTTATAATAAGAAATTTAGGAAATGAAATATTATAATTTCGAGAGAATCTAAAACTTAAAAGGCTCGATTTAATAGAAAAATTGAAATTATAATTAAAGAGTTTTAAAGATATATATAGAATATATATTTTAGAAAAAGAATTTTATAAATTCGAATATTATATATATAGAAAAGATAGTTTTTAAGAAAATAGTTTTAGGACTAAAAGAAATTAGTTTTAAAAAATAATAGTAATTAAATAATTAAATAATTAAATAGCTAACTATTTATTAATTAGTAAAAGCTAAATATCTTTTTTATAAACTATTAAATACTTTTATAAAATTAATAAATAGTTTCTTTCTTTAATATAAAATAAATTAGATTTATTTTAAGTTACTAAATACTTTTAAAAATAATCTAAAATCTTTTCTAATCTATATATATAAACTAATTAGTATTAGTTTACTAGTAATATATATAAAATATAAATATATTAAATTAGTAAAATAGTTTAATATTTAGAAATAAGAATTATAATATTATAATATTAATATATAATTCCTGAATTTATTAAATTAAATAGAAACTAGCTACTAGTTAAATTATTTATAAAATATAAGGTTATATAATTATATCCCGTTATTTATATTCTATTATTTATATTTTATATTTCGAGTACTATAATTATATATATAATTTCCGAAAAAATAAATATACTAATAATTATATTAAAATTAGGCCAGATAATATAATACAAAATTAAGTATTTATTATAAATTATAAGCTCTTTTAAAATAATATAATTAATAAAATATAATAACTTTTTTAATATTTCCGAAATTAGAAATAAGAAAATTAAATTATTAATAAAACTATATAAAAATATTATTATTCGAATAATTTAATACTTATATTATTAAAAAGTATATTATAATAATAAAGTATATCTTAAATATAATTCTTATTAAATAACTTAGTAAAAAGTATTAAAATAATATTATAATTTTTTAAAAATCTATTATTATATTATAAAGCTATTATTAAATAAATTTATATAAATATTAATTAAAAAGAAATTATAAAGAAATTAAGAGATTTATATAAAATCTTAATTAATTTATATATATTTTAATAATAATTATAAGAATAAAATATTTAAATATATCTTTTTTTTATAAATTATAATTTTATATTATATAGAAAATATAAATAAAGAAATATTTAAAAATCTTAAGAATTATAATTATATAGCTTTAATTACTAGAATTATTTATATATATAAAAAGCTTAATTTTATTTATTATATAATTATAATAAATAAATAATTATTAATAATATTATAAAATAAATTAATATTAGTATAACTATTATTTAAAAAGTTATATATTTAATTATGGAATTTAAAAATAATTAGAAATAACGAAATATAAATAATAAATAATAGTTATATAATCTTATATTATATAAATAACTCGACTAATAACTAGTTTTTATTAAATTTAATAGATATAAGAATTATATATTAATATTATATATTACTAATAAACTAATACTAATTACTTTATATATATAAATTAAATAAATATCTAGCTAATTAAAAAAGTATTTAATAATTTAAAATAAGTAAATCTATTTTTAGCTAAAAGCAAAAACTATTATTAATTCCGGAAAAGTATTTAATAGCCTAAAAAGAAAATACTAGCTTTTATTAATTAATAAATATTTATTTATTTGTTTAACTTTTATTATTCTTTAAAATTAACTTCTTTTAGTTTTAAAACTACTTTTTTAAAAACTATATTTAATGACTAGACGGCAAACTGGCTGCTGTTTTCGGCCGGTTTGGTCGCTACTTTCCGCAGCTGACTTGCCAAAATCTCACGCTGCCCTAACGCTCGCATACCTCATGGCCAAGGCGGCACGGCGGTAGGGGACCCCTGACTGACCTATTGCAGGAACACCAAAAAAAGCGAGTGGGTCGTCATCATTCGGAGGACTGCTTCTCTCATCCTCGTTCAATATTTTCTGAGAGGGGGGAGCAGAAAACGGCTGCCCACCATCCCCTGGGTAACTCAAGATAGCGGTCATCCTATATCTTCGTTCATTCTCCCTCTCTTCTCCATCTTCTTCCAAACCTCTAATACTCAACCATCACAGTCACTCGCTCTGTCTCTCTCCTCCTCCCTCCTGGCTGCCATTGCTTGGGCAGCAGGCTCCTCCTTCACATCTTCTTCATTACTTCGTTACTTGTAATCGCCCTCGCCGTCATTTCCTTTGGTTAATTCAGTCAATATGCGTCATCGCCAATAACCAAAACCAAGCTCTGCCTCCTCCTCTGACAGCGATAGATCAGACATCGAGAGCTGCTTTGACACAGGGGATGAGCAAGAGGGGACCGACGCTGAGACCGAGCCGACGGACGTTAATACTAATATGGATAGAGACGACGATACAGACCTGCCAGATCTGGAGTGGCTCGCTAGAGAGCAGAACGCCCATCCGCTAGAGTATTACCTCGACCAAGAGAATAACTCCAACGAATCCGAGGATAAAGATAAGGACTATAGTAATGGTAGTCTCCTCCTACTAGATATAATCGAGGGAAATTTCTATTAGTGGGTATCTTATTCTCTTCTTGCCTACTATCTTCTGCTATTAAATTACTAATCTAATACTCTTTATAGGTATTGCAAGTATATACGAAAGGATCCTGCCCAGGTAATATAGGCCGTCTCTCGCCGTATTCTCAAGGCCTTCTTCGAATAGATATTGAATTAACGTTAGGGGAAGGGTAGGAGAAGGCTTACAGGTATCTAGTCGGCCAGTACGCTCGGGACATACTGGAAAGTCTTCCGGCTTATATATAAACGAGCGACTAGAGAGAAAATTAAGGGGAAAATAAACCATTATATATACCGGGTAAGTAGTATTTCCTGTCTATATACTTAATCTAGACCGAATTATTATAGATAAGAGCTAATAAAAATTTATTATAGGTCCTCAAGAAGCTAGTAAAGAAGTACTACCTTTTAATAAAGAAATACGATAATATTATAATATATATCAAGGATCTCGCAGGCGTCCTATAGACTAACTTGACCATAACGAAGCAGAGATATATATATGGCCGGTAGCGGATCCAAACTAGCCTCTTTTACTAGCTAGCTATATTCTCCGTAAACCGACCTTTAGTACTCTTAAAGCTCCGCTATAGTAATATCGCGGTAAACCTGCTCCGGGACCCTAGTAGCAGGCCCTATTAGATCCTGATCGAGTTTATATACGAGTTTATAAAGAAGTATCTTGGTATAAAAGAGGCATAAGTTTGACCTTAGGCCTTATCTCGTCCTTCCGCTATCTCCTTTCCTTGCTTATTCTAGCCGAGATATATAACTTATATAGAAGCTAGAAATATATTTATATTCCCTGAGATTATCTTTAATCCGTCCCTAATCCTTAGTCCGTATATTATTCTCCTGGGTCTTATCTTTGCCAATAATGCATTCTTGGCCCCGAGTCTTATATTAGCTAAGAGGATTAGTAAGCTAGATATCCCGCCTGGATATAAGTAGCTGCCCTTATATCTAAAGCCGGAGATAGCTAATATCCCTGTCTTCCGCAAGTCTATTAGGATACCATATGGCTAGGAGGTCTCGCCCGACTAGCCACTGCCATATATAATTCTCTTAAAGTGGATAAAGCGGCTCGGTATACTTACTGGATTCCCGTAGATCATATATCTATACTTCCTCTAATATAATATAGGTAACGCCTTTAACCAGAGTAATATATATTATTTACCTCCCTTCTTAAAACCCCGCCCCCTTACTTATAGTACGATATACTAACCGTAAACTAACAGGTAATATAAGTAATATACTCTAGAACATAATAATATAATATACCAAGATTAATACCTTTATTAAGTACTACCTCCGGCGAATAGTTACCGCTAATACGCGAGCTATTATCTCCGGCTACGAACCTTAATATAACCTAATACAGGCGGCTTGTCAGATAACTCGCTAGATTAATCCTGACCGGCTATAAGAACTCACGCCCGAGGAATCCCTGTCTATTAATTAAGATCCCGTTATCTGCCGCCTTATTATAGAGCAAGAGAAGTAGAAGCGCCGTTTCCAGGGCACGGCAATATAGTAGCCAGGATACCGGATTATTGGCCAGGTAATCTTTAATACTAGGCAGTGGCTAAGAGCTACACTTCTCAAGTATATTTAAGAGTACTGGGATCTGGAATACCTGGTTAATAAGATCGAGCGGTAGCTTTCTGGGCTCAAGCTTAGCCAGGATATAAAGACTACCTTGGACCAGAATAATGAGATACCCCCGCTCTAGAAGCGCTTGGCCGAGACGGTAATAATGCTCCCGGGCACGACTATTAAAGAAGAGTTCCACTACCGTAATACGGCTATTAATATAGTCGCTGCCTACTACCACTTCCAGGAGGGGGGAGCTACTATTATATTACGGAAAAGGTCATTAATACAATAGACGAGTCTAATACTATTAAAGGAGATTAGCCCCTAGCTAGTAGCCGCCCAGACCAAGAAGCAAGCGTTAAGTAACGCTATATTATTAGTATTTACCGAGAAGAGGACTACTACTTGCTTCCTTTGCTTGGGAAAGCAGAGCTTGCCGTTTGAAAAGCGTACTTACAAGTTTGCTAGTCCGGGAGACTTAATAAAGCACTTTAAGCGGAAGTATCTGGCCCATATTAAAGAAAGGGATTAGCTCTAGTATAAGGTCTATTAAATAGGGCTATAGTATAAGTAGTATCTCCAGAATCATACAGAGAGCATCCACGGAACCGTTTCCTAGTACTTGAATAATATACCCAAGAGTATATAATTATAGAGCTTGCATTTGCCCTGTCTTTTCTCTCCTTCTCTGCCCTTTCTAGATTAATATGCCACTCTCATAGCGTGCTTCCTAAGTAAACTCATAGCCAGTTATGCGATTACAGGGTTACTTGCTTATTCCAAGCAACTTTCTTTAGAGCAAGACCAAATTAGGCAGGGCCCTAGCAAATGCGTAAGAATAGAAGGCTATTCTAAGGCGGAGCCAGTTTTGCAGGCTACTAATATAGCCTCGTAGACTTTCTTTTACTTATAGTAAGCTTAAGGCCTACCCAGATTAATTCAAGGCTATAAAGGACGTCGTATACCAGTGCCTGCCGGGCTTCGACATTATTACTCTATGCTCTTGATTTGGCGTAACAGTTACTATACATATCCTGGACTAGCGAAATAGCCACAAGCAAGACATATTATAATAGGAGAGATTAATTGAGATTAAATAGTATAGCTATTATTTCTTATACTAGCTCTGTATTTAGAATCCACCGCAATTTTAACCTCTTCCCAGCTTACTCTCAGGACCCTATAAGCCCTCAGGACCTATAAGGGTCCCAGGACACTTGCTCCTAGGACTATAGGAGGTTCTGGAAGCAGTAGTTCCAGGACACGCTATGATCCCGGAACTCTCACCGGTCTCAGGAGCCCGCAAGTAAAGCATTATATATATAGCTAAGGCTTATTAATCGTGCTTTGAGTTTGTATAGTGAATTTATTCTATTATCGTATAGGCAGATTCCCGCCACGGTTCCTTTATACTAACTATTTATTTGCACTAATTACTTCTTTCTAGTATTAGTTTTATAGTACCAATATCTTATTTATACCCGTAATTTTAGGATACTAATAGTCTCTTGGCACTAATTATTTCTTTGTACTAGTTACGCATTTGTACTAACTATTCCGGAATATAAATAGTTCTATAGTACTAGTAAGTGGCTTGTACTAGTAGTTTAATAGTACTATTAGCTTCTTGGCACTAATTAGATTATAGCACTAACTGTATATTGGTACTAATAAGTCTTTTAGTACCAAACTAACTTTTATACTAACTATTTCCTAGTATAAGAGTTATGTGTTCACGTGATCTCAATCTGGTCTCGTGATTCTTCAAGCCTCGCTTACTATGGATATTAGGTAGTTATTGCTATTAAAATAATGCTCCTGGTTGCAATAATTATAGATAGTGGGCTAGGAGTCAATATTTGGATAGTACTATCTGAAGATAAATGATCCGTAATTATAATTATCTAGATAATATTAATAATACTATTAACTTTAAGAGAATAATCTTGTTTATATATATTAGACTATACGGTAAGGTTTTTATTTTGCATATAGAATAGTATCTATTTATTTCCATAATAGTTTCTGCAAATATTATACCAAGTAATAGTAGGGCAAAGAGGAAGAAAACATTAATTAGGAAAGCCCATTAGTTAGGGAAGTATTCTGGGTTTGAGGTAGCTCTATTTATTTGCTAGCGAGACAAAATTATTACGTACTAGTCAATAGACCACGAGTCTTGGTGGCCAGTAATGGCAGAAATAGTATATGTAATTTATAGATCAAATCTGTAACTAATAGATAATATCTAGGAATTTGCGTACCCGGTCCCGAAGAGGTTATTACTACGCCATCTTGAGAAGTAGATTTATTAGGGGTGCTTAGGGTAAAGCATTTGCCATTGGTTGTCTTGTCACAATAAAGCGGGGTAAAAATAAGGCGGGTGACCTGCGGTTGCGGGGTAGAACGGATATAACTTAGGGGATATATGCCGAAATCTAACGCACGTATACTTCTGCCGTATTACAAGATTCAACCCCAATACTTTATTACTCTACTTGTTCAATTATATAAGTAAATCTTATACGGAGAAGTCTTTCCCGTCAAATGCCGTGTAAAACCAAGTAGTATACATAAACCAAGTAGTATACAAAACCCAAGAAATGTGTAAACACCAAGTAGTGTACAGAAACCAAGTGGTGTGCAGAAACCAAATGGTGTGCAGAAACCAAGTGGTGTGTAGAAACCAAAATGTGCAAGGGTCACCTCGATTTTTGGATGGTCTCTATCAGGATGAACCCCTTAACGCCTGGCCTTTTAGATAACCTCTGGCCGGAGTAGTTTGGGTTTTAATGCAGATTTTCAGCTTACTCAAAGTTCTACTAGGCTGAATTCGTATACTTCAAGCCAAAACACTCCGAATTGCACTACTACAATTCGGACTGCTTTGGCTTGAAGTATAAACAAGGCACATACGCGATCTTGTAGTATGTTAAGGTATCCTACTTCAGACGCAACCACTTCGAGGTATATTGTTTCAAACCGATGTAGTTGCAATTGTAGTACTCTGAATCTAAAATAGAGTTTCGAAAAGCTTACTCACTGGGTGGTTCGTTACACTGCAATTTTTGTGTGATTCCGGGGTTGCCCGTCCTGTGCTTGAGGGGCCGAATTGGGTCCCAAGGCGCTGGCGTTGAGAATGGGCAAAATTCGGCTCCCTGACGCTGGCGTATCTATTTGAGAAAAATATAGACGTGGAGTTCCACTGGATACCAGCCCATCAAGGAATAGAAGGGAATGAACTGGCAGACAGGCTCGCGAAGGAAGCTACGGGGTGGAAGCAGGTGCGGGGAAGAAGGGGAAAACTGATCGAAGTTGATTCAGATAACACAGCCCCGAAACCAAACTACCTCAAAAACCTCGGGTCAGCAGCAAAGACGAAGTTGCACCAACTGATACAGGAACGGTGGGCTCAGGAGTAGGAGACAGGCACTACAGGCCGAACAATTCGCTTACTGACCCCTAGCCCCAGACGTGACATCTTGCAACTTCACATGACACTGCCAAAACCCCTCAGTTCAATTATTGTGCAGATGCGCACAGAGAAGATTGGGCTGAAATGGTTCCTTTCCCAGTGGAAAGTGCCGGATGTCACAAGTGCCGACTGCGAATGCAGACGAGGTAATCAGACAGTTCGACACGTCCTTTTGGCGTGCCCTATGTTCAATGACCTCAGAAGAGAAGTTTGGAATGAAGGAACGACAAGACTTGCAAGGATGGACCTACGGGAAATCCTAAACACACCTAAGCTGGCGAGGAAGGCTGCAGGTTTCATAATCCAAACTAGACTCCTTGGGCAATTTGGAGCGGTATTACAAAACGAGACATCTTGAAGGCGAAGCACTGGGTTTCTTGGGTACTGTAGTACATATAGGAGTTGAGAGCACCCGTCAGAGGATCTTGACTTCCGATATAAGAACTTCTCATAATGTAAAATAGTTTCATAGTTTAGCAAGCCGCATAGCAGCCAAATGGCAGCTGGGACGGTCTATGAATTCAAGTCAAGTCAAGTCAAGTCAAGCATCCATTTCGCTGGCGCTTGACGAACGCTAGAGCAAAATTCGGTACCCGACCCTGGCGCATCTGCTCGGTGGACATTGGGAAGCGCTAGCGAAACGGATTCCTAGCCTCAGGCCGAAATATTTTTTGGTGTTAATAATCTGGCCAAAAAGGTCAGAACATTATTAGTTCTATACCTCAGGCCGAAATATTTCGGATATTTAATAATCTGACCAAAAAGGTTAGAACATTGACTTAAATCCATTCTATTAAGGATATTTTTAGTATTAATAATTTGACCTAAAAGGTCAGAACATTGACTTAGTTCCATTCTAGTAAGAGAAGAATCCTCAGAGAAATTACCTAAGCGATTTCTCCTAAAATTCTAAGGCTCCTACAAGAATTCTCCTACAATATCCACGGACTTAGGAGCATTCTCTTAAGATCTATGAGATTCTAGGAGAATTCTCTTGGGAGAATTATCTTGGGAGAATCCTCCTATAATATCTATAGTTCTAAGATTATTCTCTTAAGATCTATGGGGTCCTACGAGCTATAATGTCCGAAGATACTTATTTTAGGAGCAATATTATAGGAGCTATAGAAGATACATGTCACGGTTTCATGAGTTTAATAGTAAACGTGGCATATATTAACGAAGAGGTCGCTCAGGGAGCAGGAATCTGGCCCCCGAGTGAGGATATATACTAGCGTACACGTGACTTGGAGATTAAACCTTCACAATACAGAGAGCTTTCTGCTAGTAGTATTTTTAGAAGTTATAAGAGAAGGTTCACGAAGTCACATGTACGCTATAATCAGATAAAAGAACATGGATATAACTATACTAATAAGGTCCTAGGCTCTTCTTTAATTATCTATATTGCCTAAATATTAACCAAAGCAAAATACGCAAGAGTAAAAGTAGTCGTTACTACCTTCAAATATACGTCTCTCTACTCTAAGGTAGAGAGATATGAAGGTAGATATCGATTAAGAGCTAGCAGGGGTTTTATGATTTCTAGAATCATAAAACCCCTGTCTAGTCTTGTGAAAGAACAAGAACTAAGCAGAATTACATATTGTAAGGACAAGTGGCACTATAAAGGGGCTTATAGATCGTAGCCTATTTTAAGATCTGAAAGGGGTCCAAATCTGGCTTCCTCTACTTGGATTTAAGAGGGTTAATTCGGGCCCTCTACTGCCCAATTAAGCCCTTCCTTCGGCTAAGATTTTGGGATAATTAAGGGTTCAAATGCGGCTCCCTACTACCTTGGTTTAGAGGGGATCGATTTAGGCCCCTTATTGTGCAGTTAAACCATGGGCACAGAATCGGCTCCGATGCCCCTATAGGCGACCGATACGAAAGTCCTCAAAGACAATGACTAGAACAGAGGGTCTTTAATAAAACACGGCCTAGAATAACGGATAATTCTCAATTGCCTTAGGCTTAATGCTAGAAGTATATCAAAACTGACCTAGGCAGATCACTTTTTGGTATTAATAGATAATATAAATATTAAACGCAATAACGAGGGGAAAAGAAGAAAGAGAAAGAACGAGGGAATAAATAGGAGAAAGGATACTTTAATTAAGAAGGCTTATAAATTAGGGGACCTTGATAGTATTAACGTAGCTCTAATTATTTGCAAGCATGGTCGATATACTATATATAGATCTAGGGACCATATATTATAGCCACTATCTATAGCAGAGATAGTAAGTAAAAGCAATTACTTGCTTGAAATATACGACCGGTACTAATACTCATATAGTAAACTGCTTATTCTTTCCCAAAGAATATACTACCGGAAGATATCGAGAAGTGCCTTTCTAAATATATGGGAGAGAAAAAATTGCCTCAGCGGAATAAGGGGGGAAGAATAATAAATAGTAGGCAAACTACCTGTAACTAGATAGATAACTAGTAGTTTTATAAAAGGGAAATAGTCTAGACCAAAGTTATAGATATTAGTAAATAAAGTTATACCGAATTCTCTTTAAGCTCTCTCCTAAGCAACTAAAAGCAAACTATTTTAGGAGTCCTTTATAGCTTAGAGAGGAAATCGAATATAGTTATTAAACTCGTCCTATTTGAGAACAAATAATCCTTATAAATCGGGATCCTTAAGGAGCTTATAATTAGCCTTGTGACTTTTCTCGTTCTAGCCAGCTACTTAGCAGGCCTTATTACACCTATATTAGTATTAAAGTTAATATAATACGAGGAAGATTTTCAATAGTAGTCTTACCCTATTATAATACCAGAAAGACAAGCACTTGCTATACCGTTACAGAGAGGCTACCTTCTTTCCGCACCCGTAATATATTCTCATACTATTAATCTCTATTAAGAACTATTAGACCTAGTCGTTTAATACTAGTAGCTTATCTAGTAATAGTAGAAAGATCTATACGACGTCCCGTTTAATTAGCGAATATAAACCAAGCTATAGATTAGTAATTTTAAAGTACCTTAATTGTCTAGGGATCCTTATAGCAAATACCGGGCTCACAGAACATAAATGCGTGGCGCTCTGTATAGAGAATAGTAACTGTATACCCCTTTTAAACCTGTCCTAGTACTAATTCACTGCCTCGGCTATTAGTATAGAAGTATAGCGAAATTATCGTACTATTAATATCCTTGATCTCTATCTATAGACGAAGTAGCAAAGCGAAATCCATAATCTTACTAAAGAAGTACTAATAGCATCGTGGTTAGTATGTACCTATATTGCTTCTCTCATAAAACTCCAGGTCGATATTATTCTCGTCTAGGAGATCAGTAAACCCGGGGAATGTCGTACGGCTCTACAGATTCGCCAGCTGTCCTAGGGCTTTTAGCTTCTCCCTTCTCCAAAGCCAGTCTTCGAAGTCGCTCAGTTCGAGTCCTTATAGGGCTTCATCTACTTTCGTCTTCCACTTCGTTAAGACTCCGAATAGCTCGTACTTCGAGGGGTCTTGTGCTAGAGCTCCGTATTTGATAGCTAGCGTGCTGTCACCGCCAGGGGTTATCTTCTAAACAGACGCCGCCCTCTCCGCGAAGATGCGTCCTCTTGCCAAGTCGCTATTAGCGATAACGAGCTAAGTGGCATTAATAAAGGCCTGCGTAAACCTAATGTCCTCTCGTCCTTGCTCGTTATAGAGACGTACCTGTTAATCAAAGTAGCAGAGGGTCCGGAGTAGGGATACCAAAATCCCCTCTGTACCGAGTTAGTCGATAATACCGTCTAAGCGGTAGATCTCCTCTAATCTCCTGTCGCTTTCCTGGCTCTGCTCTAGCGGTAAGGAGCAGAGATAGCACAAACATGTAAAGTCGAACTTTTCCTGAAGAGCCTTCTGCCGGGCTTTGCGGTTCTTAAGAGGGGCTAAGTAAGTTATCGTGATCTCTTTGCCTTTGTTAATGTCTCTCAGAGCATGCACTGTGTGTCGTTTGATCTTTTTATTCCAGTTCTTCTGTGTATTATTATCGCAAGCGTGGTTAATGCGACATGCTTCTAGGAAGATTGCCCCTTGATCTCTAATAGCTTCGGCAGGTAGGGAGTTTGTTCAAAAAATCCCGAGATACTACTTAGCAGCATTCCTGTATAGGTGGATATTGTATATGGATAGGAAGTCTCGCCGCTGGTTTTCGCTAAGGGCTTCAACTTGCTTACAGATGGATGTTCGAAGCCGCTCGCTGCCGACCGATTCACTGACTGTAACGACGGCCTCTTCAGAGAGAATTCGCGTGCCCTTAGAGATCTTTTCAATTGCGACGAGACCCTTTCCTTTCCCCGGCATATCCTGCAAGGCGTATATGGAATTGCCCGTTGTGCTCTGCAATTTTGCGTCTCCTGCTCCTTCCAAGTTTCTACTATTCTCATTTATAATAGAAATTGCCGCAGTAAACTCAGACGTAAGTTCTGCCTCGTCCTAGTTGTAGTCAATCGTGATCTTGCTAAATATAGCTTAAGGCAATAGGCCGAGCAATCCGAATACTTTATCGTGGGGGAGAGTACACTGTGCAGATCCTGCCAAGCGACATAAGTCGTCCACTGCCGTGCCCTTCAGCCCGTCGTCCTTATCAGACAAGACCCCCGACTTCTGCCACTGCCTAATGGATTTCAGTAGTTGCAGACAAGGTGAAATTCTAGTCACCGCGCGAGAATCTAAGATGCTACCATCGAAAATTTTGTTGCAAGAGATGTCCGCAAGCGTTAGAACTACTCGAAGGGGCACGCTTGAATAACCCCAGTCGAGCGTCGAACGGATCGGGCTCACAGCTAGTTCCTGAATTATCTACAGGCGAGTCCAGTACGAATTCCCACAGAGGTGAAAGAGTGCCACAGCGACAAGATCGCGAAAATGCGAGGGTCCAAATTCATCCTCGTCATCTGAATCCGCCCACCACTCGTTATCAAAATACAAGACATCCCCTGATAAGGATAAGCCCTCTAGCTCGTCATAGTCATGATCGGATTCCCATACCTTCACATCGATCCCCAAAGCTGCTTCCAATGTTTGCCTGCCGTGGGCCTCCAAAATTGTGTTGCAAAGCCGAAGGTTATCAAAGGAAGTCTCAACCCATGAGTCCAGGCCTGTACCACTCATTTCATCTTCTCCGAGCCATACCGTTACTGCTAGCGACTGGCTGAAGATATCTCTTATCCTTAGGACCTGAGCATTGCGCTCGTCGATGTCGTCCTAATTGATGCAGACTGCATCGCTCCAGAAGAGAAGAGTCTAAGTCACGGACCCCCCGGCAGATCCTCGGACCTTCTAGGACCCTTACTAAGCATGACCAAAAATAATTCTGAACTCTCGCCTCGCGAATTCCCTCCTCAGATACTCATCACCAACAGGGCCGGTCCCAGATATCCATAATCATAGCACACTGCTATTCCCTCCACATTATCAGGCTTCATATCATGATCTTCACCAAGACTATAATAGGACTAATTATAGAGAATGCCTCAATGCATCTGCATGCCAGGCACTGACAGGCTGTCCTCGGCTCAGGGTGTTGGAGCCGTTTTGGCACCCCTGTTCTAGTAATGTTCTGGTGATTTGTATTACCAGATTAGATAATCAGAGCAGCACGTGCACCGACCCGCCCCGGCCCCCCTTGGCTAAAGGTGGCCATGTCCCAAGGTGGCCATGGCCCTCTCTTATAGTCTTTCCATTCCATCCTCTATTTCTCATCACCCTCGCCTTAAATTATTTCTATGCTCTGCTACTGCGAAAAGGCGATTATGTACTCGCTTGTCACAAGCCCGCAGCTATTACTATTCCTTGTCTGTACTCTCTATAACCACGTTCAGGGAGGCCTCTCAAGGCTTGCGTGGTGGCGCTGGTTGAAGATTGCCTGAGCGAGCTCTTCTCGTTTTGGAGGAGTCACTTTGTGATGTGAGTCCCTCTTCGTCTTGCAACGCGATCCTTTATATTATTACACCTCAACTCTGTATAGAGGTGTATATCCTTGATTCTTGACGAATTTTTTTAAGAGATCTAGTGTTCTACTCTTCTTCTTATACAGCTTCATTTGGGTAGGTTGTCGACTAGTTGCTGAATCTTGGGGGCGCTTTGCTTTTTTCTTGACTATTGTCATAGCATCTGAATCGAGGCCGTATTCGTTGTAATCAGGATCACTATTAGAAGAATTGCCATTAGAGTATATCTCAATAAGAGCGGCGTCTACAACTGCTTATCGCAGACAGTTAATTTCTAAAATTTAGTCGTCTCAGCGTCAACTATAAGAGGAGAAGTAGATTGCTTATTGTAAGACTTATATATAGCTTCAATCGTTAGCTTATAACAGTTTTTATAATCCCTGGATTGCTCCATTTGATGCAAGTGTGAAAGGCAATCATCTCACTTCTGTTCGTCCTCTACGTATGTGATCAAATGGTGGCCTTTAGGTTCCCAATTGACACTGTCCAGTGCTGAATTTCACTTTTTTTGTTTGGTTTCAAGGTATGGTTTCCTCCCAAGGCTTGATTCATTTCATATAGACATGCTCTTGTAGAAGCTTAAAGCTCTCGCAGAAAACCGGGTTATTAAGATCAATCGTCTTAATAGCAGCCACTTCAGCTTGGCTATTGATTGAAGGCGTAATAGTTAGAGTAACCTTATGAGGATAGTTGACGCATTTGACCTGTGGATCGAACGGAGAAGGGGTACTTCCGAAGCCTTTGGACGCTTGGAAAGAGGGTTATTAAACGCAGTACCAGGAGATGTCTGAGCAGGAGTTGCTGGTGTATCCTTTCCAGAAGAAAAGTGAGTGGTCTCAATCATCACTTTTGCTTACTGCTTTCATCTGGTTCCCTGGAAAGAGGTGGTTGATTCGCAGAAAACGAGGCAAGAGTGTTGATGTTCAGTTTTGGCTGCCTCTTCGCTGGAAGCTCGCCTTCAATAGGCTTCATAGATATGCGGTTTGAACAATGTCCTGTGGGAATGTAGATCCTGATGTTTCAGCAGTTATAGGGTGTTTTGGTAGGTGGTGGTGGAGTAGTTTAGTGGAGAAGTCGATAATTATTGCTTGAGTTTTCCTCCTTACTGTAAAAGTGCGTATTTCGCTTGATACAACTCATTTGCGACACTGATTAAGCGATCTCGCTTTATTTGCGAATTTCGGTTATAAGGAGGACTGAGAACGGTCATAGTCTTGATATCTTGATAGGCTCAGAGAAGTGGCTATGTTGCAGGTAATAGGATCTGTAAAATTCTATATATATACAATATGGAAACTATTACCGATTCTCAAGGGAGTCAGAAGGGGATCCTCTGAGCGCGATCCAGTTGACTTACTAGTGTGCTCAGGACCTAGGTGTTACGAACACATGACAGCTGTAGCCTGAGGCTCGGTAGCAGAAGCGCTATACAGAGAACTACAGTGGAGATCACGAGATGCGGGTCACGTGATGGAGCCCTAGAATAGGGAGCCCTGGAAATGGAGCCCGGCTCCATCGTCAGGGGCTCCAGTCTTGGGGGCTCCAAGGAACAGAGGTTCTATATAAGCAGTTGTATTTCCTTAGTAGATAGAAGCTCTGTGCTTAACTCAAATAAAGTATCTCAACACTACTTTAGTAACTTACAGTCGACAACTCTTGATTAGTGACAGTACCCCTATCCGTACCTAGAATACCAACCCGACTATACCCTAAGCAACACCAGCTTTAGCGTTTGTTACACTAGGGCCTTGCTCAGGACCAAATACAGAAATGAACTTTGGTGAGCTCAATTGTTCTTCAAGATTATAGTGATTATAGTGGTAGTCTGCACCGAATCTTAACCTCTGTCGCTTTCAATATAATTAGTTAGCATCGCTGCTTTGCTCAGGCGCTACTCACCCTCGCCTCACCCTCTGCTCAGGCTGCTCAGTCACGTTTCTGCACTTCCTTCCAGTGATAAATTATAATTTACTGACTATTACCGCGGGAGCTATCAATTATATATGACTGTATTCCAAAAGTCCTTTTACAGTATCAGAAGGTACAGAGAGCGAAATGGTGAGGCTGTGAATTCTGAATCTAGGATAGGCTACAGTCAGGTGATCTTACGCACACCAGAGGCTGAATTGATGTTTTGAGGGAGGTATACCCAACAACTAAGAGGAATATTCAATGGTAAAATATACGGGAAAGTAGTTTGTATTGCTTGCTGTAATGGAATAGAACCATGGAACCTCTCCAGAGCTTACTGACAAGTGTGCTAGTGATACGTGTTCGTTTTGTGTCTCAGATAACAAACCTGATATCTAAGGCCATGAAAGAAAATAAACAGCCAATCATGTCTTGCCACATCCAGGCATGTTTAGGCAACCTCTTCACGCAAGACACACATACTGCTAGAGGAAACATTAATTTTCTGGGTTTGAACCATTGCTCCTATCTCTTTAACACCATTTATCCCCTTGGTAATTAAGACACCCTCAAAATGGATCCTCGATTCCGTATACTTCCTCGCCCTAAGGGTTTTAGCTCCTCTATATCGTTGTTGATTAGAGCAGAGAAAACACCAGATACATGTCAGAATATTCAGCCTGGTGTAGAACCCATTAACATTTTCCAATTCGTCAAATTCAAAGAGGTAAAATTCAAGTTGCACTAGAGAACTACGCCGTGGGTACAAATATGCTAACTCAGTGAAAAGCAACGAATCGTGAATTTCAACGACTATCTACACGACTTTCCCAATGTGCATGTTCTTGATTTATTTCAACAAATTTGCATCACAGCAGATGTCAAGCATTGTCAGAATGAAAAATGCCAAGCAATTCGACGAGAAATGATAAATGCTCCTGCATGTGAATGGAAGTGCTTCAGGGACTGGGCCCTTGTGACAATGTCTTGTCAGATGAATTCCAAAACTCAAGGGTTGGATCTTGAGAGTTGGAAATGGGCTGAGATAGCCCACAACCTGTCTATTGTGGCTACATTCACTCGACGCGACAAGATGCTTGCTGCGAATGTGGATTTGTTTCAAGTTCACGAACTGATAAATTGGATGGTGACAATCAATAGCCATCTTCACCCTTCTTTCGAACCTCACTCTCCTTTGCGAACACATATAACAAAGCAAAAAATCGTCGAAGCAACGCAGACTGCACAAAAAGTGGGAATTTGCCAGAATCGCCTCTGGAATTTGACAGTAGGGGGGGGTGAGAGAGAAGAAGTGGATTTACCCATTCTGATGGCGGTGGTGGAAAAGCACTCTACTCAGTTCATGAAGCACAGAGGATATGAAGATCACGGTATTTGCACTGCTGGAGTTTGTTGTTTCAACAACATTGACAACACCCGTGTCAAACAGCTTCACAAATGCTCTACGAAAGACTGTGAGGAATTATTACACTTCCCGCTCTCAGAACTCGAGAGACCATACGAACGTTTTACATGGTGGATTGACGATATTGAGAATACTAAGAATATCCCATACATTGCCACAGAGAAAAGTCAGGGACAATATATGGCAATCTCCCATGTGTGGTCGGATGGCACAGGTGGAGGGATTCAAGGGGAAGGCCTTGTCAACCGATGCCTATTCAAGTATTTCCAAGGAATTGCTAAAGAGTTGAGATGTACGGCAATTTGGTGGGATACAATTTGCATTCCAGTTGAACGAGCAACTCGGCAAAATGCTATTAGTCGGATGCATGAGAACTTCGAAGAAGCTGCCCACACCATCATACACGACCAATATCTCGTACAGTTTCCCTGGACAGATGACAGTAGACCGTGCCTAGCTCTGTTACTCTCTCCCTGGTTCACACGTGCCTGGACAGCTCTCGAGCTAATGATGTCCAGAAAAGGAAAAGTCTCGGTGGTTTATAGACATCCCAATGATCCCGGCCGGTACATAATTAAAAACCTCGACAAGGATATCCTCGCTCTTCACCCCGCTTATTCTTCTCGCAGCCATTGGATAGCATCCACTCTAGTCAGCCAGCTACGTGGACAGCGAATTGACTGCATTGGAGACATTCTTAAAATCCTTAAAACAAGAAGTACGTCGTGGCCACGGGATCTTATGGTGGTTGCCGGCCTCCTTGCCGGCCACAATCCAAAAGTTAACACACCTGGATTCATTGCCCAAATCACACGCGACATCGTACTAGGGCTTGTCGAAATCGAAGAATCCTTTCTTTATCATGGCCACACAACCATGACAGAGAAGATGGGATTCTCCTGGTGTCCTTTTAGCTTGTTAGATGGGGATATCTTAACCAATACAGACCGGCCAGAAAGAGTGTATGTTGATGAAGATGGAGCGGTATCTGGAAATTGGGATTATCGTATATTGGATAAAGAAGATGCAGTGAATGTGCGACCCTATAGCTTCCACATATCGGTTGACTGGAAAATCCGCGTCGCGTTGGAACAGTGGGAGAGCTGTCTATTGTTGCGAAATACTCATAACCGCAAGGGGTTGGCCCTTTTAGTTGTACCCCTGGACGTCGCAAAATGCGAAATCGGCGGCATTGAATATGTCGTTTTAGATTGCCAGTATATAGGGACTGTGTATACAACAAACCTCCGCTGGGGCGATTCCTACTCGGCCTCAGTCAGGCTGGGAAAGCTTTCCAAGCATCCGACTCTGAGTGCAGAAGAAATTACCAATAGGTACTACGATACTAAAGGCTGTCGCATTTACGGTCGCCCTTGGGAAGATCAACTGCACTCCATTAAACAAGCGCGCAAACAATATTCAGACAGAGTCGCGACAAGTAACCATCATAGTTTCTAAGAAAAAGAACAATTTTAGTAACCGCATTGATTACCTTATCAAAGCTTAGCATAACTTAATGCCAAATGTAGCTAACTCTTATTAACAGTTTCAAGAAGATCTGAGTGGCTCTGTACGTCTCCGCATGAATGAGCATTGCAAAAAGGATGGTCGACCTGAGCGTACCAATTACTATCGAGCCTCAGGCCTAGCTGTCATGTGTTCATAACAAACACGGAATACTATGGACTTATTACCTCAGGTCGAAGTTCTTCAAATTTCATTTGATTGGATAGCGAGGGAGTAGGACTGCGTGATAATCGAAGACTAATTGCCGAAATTTTTAACAGTGATTCTTCCGGTTATACATTTGACTTCTGCCTCTTTGATTGATCTGATAAAACTCGTTCAATCTTCTTTCCCATTTCAAGCCCCTCTAAAACGTATTTCCACCAATATGTTTCCTTCATTTTCTCATCTTCCAGTGTCCCTGCTCATCCTCATGTCAGCAATATGTTTCAGAAACAGGATGTGAGTTTGGAATACAAAGAGATGTGGTCTGCAACCTACCAGTAGCTATCAATTTCAGTAGCGTTGACTGCCACGCTAACCGATCTTTAGAGTCTGTAAGTATCGGATTTATCCAATTCGTACAGTCCTCTTTGGTGTCAGGATTGAGGTAGACTATCGTACTGAGCATTGATCTCCTTGAGCTAAATTCCGTCTGGATGCGCTTCACGCCAATATTGCAGTTCAAGTGAAGCCAGTCTTGAACACTGTCTTCTGGTCGATACCCATACGTGCTAGCCCAAGCACAGAATACAATCCAGAATGTGATTACAAATGCATTCCAATTCTGCATCGCGCATGATCCAATTGCTAGGACCCATTGGCCAGCAATTAACAATTGCAGTAACACCTTCAAGAGTTTCGGGGCGGGAGTGGTACAAGTCCGGTACAGCGGCTTGTTGAGTAGAGAGTTGAGCAGGTTGCTACATCCGTAAAATGCCCACCATTCTGAGCCATTTAAGTTTTTGGTGGCGACCACGAGACGTTTGAATCCCGAGACCCTCTCATTCAATAGTGGGCGCGATTTGCCGCCTCTTATCAGGTACACAAGCAGCCCCGTCATTGGCATAAGGATTAAATACGCCGCTCCGATATACAACTTTGCCAGCAGACAAATAGTCGTCACTCCGAGCCAACATAACCACCCGCCTAATGATATGGATTTATACCTGAGCGAATGTGTCTTCGAGATCCAAGGAAATGCACTCTGGCCAGCCACAGACTCGAGCCGCGTAATGTTAAAAACCTCTAGTCTCTGCCTCCTCGCCTCTACGTCCTTCATATTAACGCTAGAATTTGGTACCTTAGTGTCAACTCTGTGCGTTGACAAGCCCAGTCTCACTGTGGCTGGCGAGCTACTAGGATAGCAGTCTCCATGTCTCCCATCAATACAGTGTAAGGTTTGGCTGTATCCAGCTTCATCGAGACAGCATGTATAGCTTGTGTGTTCATCTAGAAGAAGCAGCCGGGCTCCAGCAGGTGTTATGGGCCAGTTCCATAGAGAGACCGAACCGCTGAGCTCGAAAACGTGTAGCTTTGTGGGGATGTCGATGAACTCGATAAGTGCTGTGAGAGGAAGTATTCCAGCCAGCTGCTGCAGCCAGATGGAAAGAGCAGGAGTGATTATCGGTGTGGAAATCATTATGATTGAATAAGGTTACGTTATGTGATAAGCTAACAATATGAACATGCTGGCCCGTCGTTGTCTTTGGATGACGACCAGCCGCTCATTTTTTCAGACGTGAGACTCCACGGTTCTTGGCCCCCGATAAAGTTTTTTAATGTGTGTTGGTATTACTGCACAGCCACGAAATTAGGCATCAATGCAGTCGGCGAGCGCTAGTTCCGATAGGTTTGAGCAAGCATACTTCTGGGTCTCGATACCTGTTTAAATTATTCTTGTATTGATATCATTAGAACTGTATAGATTCCAGAAATAGAGCCGGTAACTAGCCTGCTTTTTACTGGAGAGGGCATTGTCAAAATAGTTTAAAAAGGGAGTTAAGCTTAAATGCGAGACGAATTCAAGAGTCGTGCACAAATACGCTGCAACTTTCAGACACCCCACCTAGGAATACATAAACATTTTTACATACGCTAATCCTGATCTTTGCGAAACTGTTTCGCCGTACTTTTTTACTGTGGTTTTTCTACTTAAGCGGCAGCAGAGTAACTTCTCGATACTCGTTCCTCATATTGAGAAGCCTAAATGTAGTTTTTAAGTAAATTCTATTATAGATACTACAGTATTAGGGTGCCAAATCTTGCTCCTCGTTTAGCGTTTAGATAGAAGAGGTACTATTTATAGAAGGGGCAGGTTTTGAGTCACATACACTTATAATCGGAACACCTTGGTTCGTAAGATTGGGCCTCAGATTGATCCCTTTTATATTATTTTATTTTAGGTTACAACAGGGTCGCGTACGTGTCTCATTCAAAATACTACAGACCAGTGTACTCTCAATTGTAGTACTACAATTTGGACTACTCTAATCTTTAATATGCAGATCTCGCCTGCTAGAGATCAGAGCACGTTTATGTTTCACTCTGGAGAACAGGGTGCTAACCTCCTTCTAGATAATTTAAATGCGTTCTCAAAATGACATAGGTGTTAGAGCTAGGGCGCACATTGGGCACCCAATGGGTCATCGGCAGGCCGTGCACCTCTCAACGCTACGAAGCGAATAACCTAGCCTTACCGCAAAATTGTATAGAATATTTTCCGATATTTAAACGGAAACACGTCCTATCAAATTAGAAAAGAAAGTTAAAACATTATTGGCGATCGGACAAGCCAGAAGCGACCCCTTCCGCACCCTAACACAACTCTTTAGAACGAGAGGATAAAGGCTCTTAGGATAGACTAAAAACGAAATACTGTATCAAAGTGCTTGTGAAAGCCGCTGTTTTACGAGCGAGAAGTACCATGATCTCAGACAACTCAGCAATCGAACATTTAGTACGGCTGAGGCTAGGGACGTAATATGCCTTCAAACAATCCTAGGTCCACATAACGGCAGGTTTGGACTAATGAGCATGACAAGCGTGGATGGGTTTATACAGAATGGATAGATTGGAGGAGGGAGAGTACGAGGGTTAGATTCTACAATTCTGTGATCCATATAAGTGCTCAGGTTTTGCACTTCCTTGGCAATATACTGGCTATAGTAAGTTCATAAAGCCTGGACGCAAACACTTAATGTCAAAAATGGTTTAAAATGATTATGATTAGGGAGCGTGTGGTCGAGTGAACAAGTCATCCTACTAGGATGCTTCCCTCTATCCTTATCATAATGTATAACGGATTTAATTCACACAGTCTACAATACTCTTACTATTAGTAACTAACATTACTATCCAAGCCCGCAATTTAACAGAGATGTGCTGTCATCGATAGCATGAAGGCGTGTCTCCAGCCAAAATGCATTGTTAGCCTGTGTAATGAGCCACAGACAGAATTGGGTTCAGTGTAGGGAACTCATATTGGCTCCGGCAGTGACCCTTGATTAGTATAACAGGGAAGTAAGAACGGATACCATCACAACATCTTGATAGGTTCGAAGAAGTGGGTTGAAGCTGAATTGCTGTTTATGTGATATTTCGCTTGGGGTTCTAATTCGGTTCTTGGGGAAATCCGCGTACGTATACTTTGCCAACTTCTCTAGGAAACTGCAACCGGGTCACAATGGAGCCAAAAATGGGCTACTAGGCTGCTAAAACGGATCTGCTACCTATAGTGCTCAGGCAGGACTCAGGAACACTCGCCCTCGGCTCAGTTTAGAGCAGCAAACTGCTCAGGTCCAAAAACGGAAATAGAATTTGATGAGGTCACTTGTCGTATGAGATTATAATAGTAGTCTTAAATAATGATAAAAATCTTTTTCTTTTTAGCGTGGTTAGTTAGCGGCCGCGCTCTACGGTCGATGGGGTTTAAGATTAATTAATAGAATAGAAATATTTGGGAGTAGTTTTATTCTATGTTTAGAGAAAGAAAGGCGAAATGTAAAATTTGTCTATTTTAGGGTAAAGATATATGGATCGAGACCAAAAGATTGGCAAAGCGTCGCGAAGGTAGATAAAAAGCAGTTTATTAATCCGACTTGAAAAATGAAACCCCTCAGAAAATGGAGGCCCAAACCTCAAGTTTCTGAGATGTTTCTTTCGGAGTCGATAGACATTGATGCAAATGGCATCGATCCAGACCTTGTCCACGAGGGAAGACCGAAGGCAGTCTAAAGCAGCAGCCAGGTTCTCCCCAACGGTAACGGGCATCCCGTTGATAGTAATTGTCTTCGTATCTTCTGGGCTTCTCCACATATAACTGATTGCTGTATAGTCGCCCCATGTAAACCTAGCAATAGTGCGGAACACGTCTGAGAATATTGACCCTAGTTCAAAGTCAAACTGCTCGCACCAGGCATCGTTAACCTGGCTCCTGCTCCATTGCGCAAGGTGTGCGCTACGAAATGTTGTATATTCTGGCTTGAAGTCGTCCAAAGATACGTGCTCAAGTATAAGGCGCAAGGGATCGAGACGTAGACCTAGAATGCGATCTAGGCGACTACTCAAGTCATCGGGTGTCGAGGGAGGCTCGAAGGACAAAACTCGAATCTCGTTGCGGGAAGCGTCGAGAGGCTTGTACTGAACGTATTGCGAGGGAGAGCCCGAGGCTGGATCCATATCTATTCGTTGATATCGATAAGGGTTTGGAGTAACCTAATAGAAGTAAACATTTCAAATACCATGGAAATAAATTGGAGAGGTTGGGATGATCAAAGACCACGTCGATTCATGGCGTGCCTGCTGTGCGATACCACCGACCCGAGGATTGGCTATACCCATACATTAATACCCAATAGGATATACGGAGGTACTATATCCCATTAATACTAAACGACGAATAGAGTTAGTCGGTTCGGTAGGGCCATTTGCGAAGTCTTTTCGGATGGATAACCAGTAGTTTTGGAGTCCTTCGCCGCGGAACCAGCAGTAAAGATATCGGTTGCACCTTCTCTGGCAGGCGTTATCTGGACATCTACTCCCATTAGTCAATAACGAGCCTTATTATTATTCCTCGTTACTGCCCTGACCATTTGCGGAGAAATACAGAGCAGATAAGAATAGTACGGTTAGATATCTGCTATTTTCTTGCTTATAATAGAATATGAATTCGTACCAAACTATAACCTCGCACTAACCGGAAACAGCAGTACTTATTAGAAGCAAAGCTGAGAAGCACAGTTTCATTATTGAGGCCTAATAGTCGTAAGGGGTCTCTTAAATCCCTTTGCCAGTCAAACTCCGTCCCATATAAATGAGATATAAACGATTCCCTTTCGAGCAGTTTACAACTGAAATTTAAGCTCATTTGAGTTCTGTAAGTAACTTAATCGGAGTTCAGTAGTCGTAGGAATATCTTCAATATTAATAGTATAGTACCCTTTATATAATATAATTATGTCCTTTACCTGAGCAATTAATAAATGACCTGAAAACACCTGGAGAAAATCTAAGGTTAGAGACAGCTTATTAAGCTATAAATGCAGCAATGGCATTACTAGTATAATCAGTTAGCTATAGGGAAGTTAGTTATATTCAATCGTAATTAGAGATATATGACCTGTAAGTGCGGCCTCGCCCAGAGCTACCTTCGTCTCTATATCGCTATTGCCAGCGTACGGTGGCTCCAGGGGTGTTCTCGGCGGAGTTAACGGTATCTCAGTATATAGTAAGGCACTCAGATCTCCCTCTTGGACAAAAGGGGGTCGTAGCTGGACTATAGACGTCGAAGCCTAGACTAATAGATTCCTAGAAAGGGACGATAAAGACCAGTACGCAAGTGGTAGCAGGACACTCTCATTTGGAAAGTGATATTGCTTCTTTGATTTCGAAGCCCTTCGGACCTTGTCGTCTAGGGTTGCTTTTAACCGAGTTGTAATGCGACTCAGCTCTCCGTAACGCTCTACCGGAATATCTAACCAGTCTGGGAGGGTCCATTTATTATAGAGCCTGCCGTATATTCGAGGGATATAGAAGCCGCCATAGAGGAAGAAGAAGAGATTATACAGGTAGTAAGTACTCTTACTAGAACAAATGAATCTCGGTTACTAATAGCATAGATAAAACTCATAAAAGAAGAGGAGCTATATCTTAGTATAAACCTTCCAGGGTAATTTCTGGAGAGAGGCGGGTATCTGAATCTGGAAGGGCTCTACCTAAACGTTTTGAAATACGCGGCACGTCCTATTCCTTGTAGTATAAACAAGCTCGAAGGTAGCAGAGTAATAGCGGGCCAGCTTGCCAATTGCTTCTGGCAAGTATTGCTTCAAGGTTAGTTCTAGCATCGAGCTCTAAAGAGCTATGCCGAGAGTAACCAGGGGGAATTCGTGGGCCTGTTTAATGATCTCTCTAACCATCTCGTATGCTTTGCCTATCTCCGCATAGAGATCCGATATGCTTTCTAGCTTTGTAAAGAGGGCATACAGAGCTCGTACTCTATCTCTGCCAGCCTCCAAACTGCTCTTTATTAACCCTAACCTGGCCTTGACGGACTTGTTATTAATCGCCTCATATAGTTGAGTAATAAGGGCTAGTCTTCCAGTAGTCTTCTAGGTCTTTCTATACCGTAATTATAGTCGTAACAGGATCCGGTATAAGTCTAGGACAATAACCTGTCGAAAAAGAGTCTCGATATCCTCGGCTTTCGAATTCTCTAAAAAGCAAATCAGTTATATTTCGGAACTTGGTCAGGGGATCGACCTTGCCGCACAGCTTGCTCCAAGATTTTCGCAAGCGTTATAAACTCTTATATAACCGCAGAGAGGTCCCTAGTATTTAATACTATCCGAATCGTGATTCCTTCGCTATTATAGTATTCTTTAATGCAGACAGCCATGACTTTTAGGCTTTCATCCGTCGTGGCTAATAGAAATGCAAGGTTGCTCGCAATCTCCTTCTCTCGCAAGATGCTCAGGCGGCGCGTTTGGTCTCCCTTAGGAACGGCAAGATTCTCGCATGGCCCCTCTGGGAGCTCATCTAGCTTCCGGAGACGGCTGATCGTTTACTATAGTTACAGGCGGGTAATCGCACCTCCCCACATCGTTGCTTCCATAATCCTCTCTTCTCAGTGACCTGCCTCGATGGCCACGCCAGGACATGGTCAGGTCATAGTAGGTATAATGCAGGCTATTGCGAAAAGGCAGGGCAGTTGGAGAGAGGCACTAGGAGGGGCGAGGTGGTCGCAAAGCGTGGTTGAGGAGAGGGGGATAGAGCCATAGGCGGGTGATTTATAGCAGAGGCGTGCTAGGTACTGCTCGAATCTCAGTAAACTATATCAAAGATGATATCAAGGCTCGGAAGAGGCTGCGGTATTACCTGATAGATGTATTGCAAGCTTTTGTATCAAAAGCCCATTCGTCTGCCTCTGGGAGTAGCACAACCCGTTCATGAGTCTCCTGAAAGCAGGTCTGTGAGCACGGAACGAAAGAACGGCGAGCGTGCACAAAGCTGTTGCTCGTCAAGATGAAAGGGATGCTTATCATCCCCTACTAGAACGGTGACTGGCGTATTGCGGTCGGGGTCTGGTTATTTGTGCTGGAAGGTAATGGAAGAGTTAAAAACTAGTGCTTACTTATACACTGGGTACGCATACTTCTAAGTACGGATTGGAGCGCATGGCCCCCAAACACTGACTGGCGCTACTGTGCAAATAGCCTTGTCCCAACAATGCCGTAGAATCACGTGCAGTCTCTGCCTCCAATGCAATTATCACCCGCGAAGCCAGTAGCGCATCGCAGCTATTGAATTGTGACCCACGAGGTTACGGCACCGAACAGGCGCGAATTTCTGTTTGCAAACAGGCAGCCGTTTCTGGATGAGGCTGAGATGCCTGCCCATGGGAAGACGTTAGATGCCGTTTGTGGAGGGTTCGGAGCAGCCCGAAGAGGACTTCAGGGCAAACAAACAGTGCAGAATTGGAGGCGCCTCAATTGAATTACAAAAATGGCTCGCGCGATTTCAGGCTAACTCTAATACCTTACTAAGATGAAAATTTGCCAGTTATACTGAGGCCCACAGCTAGCTAGCGGACAAATCCGAGAAGCGAAAAGTGATTTTCTGATTTTCTGATTTTCTGATTTTCGCACTGGCGCCCCGCACACCCCCCCCCCCCCCCCCCTCCTCCCCAAGGTAGAATTCCTAATTAGGGGTATAGCACCCACACGTGACTTTCGGCTTGGATAATATAATAATAGTAAGGCTGCTTGCTTGTCTAATTAACGAAGTGAGAGCCCATACTACCGCGTGAAATCGTGCCAAAATTAGGCCGGGTAGTATAATATAAAATTGAGTATTTATTACAAATTACTGTGGTCAGGTGACTATAGGCTATAAGCCTTTCTAGGATGACGCTATTAACAGGGTCTAATAACTTCCTTAATGTTCCCGAGGTTAGAAATGAGAAAATTAAACTATTAAAATAACTGAGAAGCCGGCTAATTACTTTTTTTTGGTAATTAATTAATAAAATCACGTGGGGGTAACGTTACTCGAGTTTTTTAGTACTTATATTACTAGAAAGTATATTGCAATAGTAAAGCATACCCTGAATTTAACCCCTATTAAAATAACTTAGTGGATTTTATTAAAATAATACTATGACTTTTAATAAATCTATTACCATATTACGAAGCTATTACTAAATGGGCTCGTACGAATATTAATTAAGAAGAAATTACGAATAGATTAAAAGATTTATATGAAATCTCAGTTAATCCGTATATAGTCTAATAGTAACTATAAGAATAGAATATCTAAATATATACTCAAATAGCAGATATGCCTTTTCTTTATATATAGATTATAATCCTGTATTATCTGGGAGATATAAATAAGGAAATACTTAAGGATTTTGAGGATTACGGTTATATAGCTTTAATTACTAGAGTTATTCGTATATATAAGAAGCTTGGTCTTATTCGCTATATAACTATAATAAATAGGTAAGCGGCAGACGAGTAACTATTTATAATACTATAGAGTAAGCTAAATAATAGGCGGGTTATAGGTTATAAATAGCGGTATTTATATATATACTTCTATTAATAAGGTTTACTAGTAACCCGGTTAGTCTTTTTATACTTTACTATTTTGCCCTAGCTTAGAAGGTTAGGGCCTTGTTTACTAACGTATTTTGTTATCTATAGGGAGAGCTTATATATAATATTATAACTCCTGGATCCCGAGGTAATTATACTACGAATATAACGGATATAGTTTAAGAAGAAAGAATATATTATATCTGGGCCGGACTGGATTTGGTTAATTAATAGATATAATAAGCTATTACTATTTAGGATTAAAATATATACTTATATTAATACTTATTTATATAATATTATCTAGATATATATTAGAATCTCTAATTAGACTACCTATTTAGTTATATAGTAATATCTTCAGATTTGTATTTAAATAGGCTACTGCCCTCACTTTTTTAGGGCTAATTAAAGCTCTAAACTTCCCCTTATTACTAAAGTATACTTTATATTCTCGCAGATAGCTAATCTATTAGTTATATATATAGAGGACTACTTTATTTCTGGGAAAAATACTAAGAATTAGCGGGTTAAATCCTAGTAATAGGAGCTTTAGAAGAGCTAGCTATACCGGTAGTATATAAGTAATTCCGTTTCTTTATATCTGCCCCTTATTCTTTCTATTATTAGAAGGAAGTATTAGATACTAATAATTATACTGCTTTTTATTAAGGCTATTAGGTCTAGTATTATAGTACCGGATTATATAACTAATTCAGATTAGTATATATAGAACTACTTTTAGGAACTAGCCTATACCGGGAATTATAATTACTAATACCTATAGAACCGGATTACTTTACTAGTACTTTATATATAGCGGATCCAAAATGAGATATATAGGTTTATAGACTTGTAAAATATCTATAGAATTAGAAAAGACAGATCTAGGCCTAATATAGTAGCCGGTAAGCTATTTAGACTATATATGAAGCCCTTAGGCAAGGTATAGTACTAGGGTCGCTCTATAAATATAGAGCTTTATAATATAATCCTTAATAATTACTTAGTTTAAGGTAAGTAATATAACCTTATATAGCTTTATATAAATAGTTTACTCATATACTAATATAGATATTAATAAGTTTCTACCGAGAGAAATACTAGAATAATACTATTAGAAGCTTATATCTTATAATATAAATATAACTAATATTTATATGGGAGATACTAATAGAAATAGTAACTAATTATATATTTAAGCTTATTACTAGCTCTGATATATAGTCCGGGCATATATAGCCTTAGGGCAGCTACTAATATTAGGAGAGTTCGAGAAGCTAACTAGTAAATATAATATTACTATTATATAGAATAGGATCCTTAAGTAAGTTATCCTAATAAATATAGAGTATATAAATAATATATAGGCCGGAAGAATACTTATATAGTTCCTAATAATTTAGGACTTTATCTAGGAATAGCCCTTTATTAGTAATACTTCTAATAATATAAGATAATTAAATAAGCCAGTTATAAAGTAACTAGGTATATTAAGATAGGTATTATTTATTATTAAATATATTATTTTCGAAACTTCCTTCTTACTTTTAAGAATAGTACTAATAGAATTATTAAGTTTATTTACTATATAAATATTTTATATTTTTAAATTCTTATTTCTTAAAATAGTATTATTATTTCTCAAAACCTGTCCTAATACTATATATCCTATAGCCAAATATTAGTATAGTAATATCTAATATTACGAGTTCTATTAATTTACTAATAATGAATATAATATAGAGGCCGCTGCTTTACTTATCTAGAGTAGTAATATTAGTAAACTTAAATCTTATAGCTCTAGAATTCCGTTTATATCTGCCTTCCTCTTTATATCTGGGATACTTTAGATCCCTAGCTTTTCTTAGTATTCTTATCCTATATCTTTTTTTCTAGGAATATTTATTATACCTATTTCTCTAGTTACTATTATTATATAGCTACTAGATACTAGTTTTACTCTACTTCAGGCTCCTCCTGCTCTAATAGTCTTATAACTACTTTCTTTTATATTTCCTTTTATTATAAGCTATATTATTTAATCTAACTACTTTTCTAGTAGTACTTATACTACTATATAAGCTTAACGGGCTATAAATACAAGAGTTACTCAGGCTACTACCCAGGCCATAGCTTTTTATACCGGTAATAGGTTACCTGAAGCCCTTTAAGGTCTTATAAATCAAAATATAGCCGGATCTAGTCTTATAGAATTATAGACTATAGTTTTATAGCTAGTTCTTTATAAGTGGACATTTAATAATATAAAGAATTAGAGAGCTAAATAAAGAACTATCTAACTTTCTAAAGAAGTCAGTAGTAAGTTTTCTCTTATTTCTTTTATTAGATTCTTTATATGAATTCTAATAGATATTTTTTAATAAGTAGCTTTTAATTTAAAATAAATAATCGAGTTTTTTCTACTTTTTCTAATATAGTTTCTTAGTAGCTACTTCCTTACTTCTCTCTCTATATTAGCAGACCTACCTGCTATTATTAATTTATTAATAATATAAATAAACTAGTATTCTATACTAGTTCTAATAGTAAAAGAGCCTAGGAACTTATAGTCTTATTAGGTTCTATCTAAACTATCTTTAATCTTTCCTGCTATAATATATATCTGGGCCCTAAGGATATCTGGATAATTTTCCTTATTTTATACTAGGATAAGACTTTATATAAAGATATCTGTCTTGAAATTACTTATAAAGAGCTAGAAAATACTTAGAAGAAAACTTTATATAAAGATCTCTATCTTAAAGTTACTTATAAAGAGCTAGAAAATACTTAGAAAATATAATAACTTAAAGAGATTAAATAATAGACTAAGGAGGCCTAGAGAGCCCAGAAGAGTATTACTTACTAGTATAGGTATAAGACTTTAAAAGTAAGAAGAAATCTAATAAACTAATAGGTAAATAAAGGTATATATATAATCTTTTTCTTTAATTCTGGCTCCTATTTTTTATTTTTTCTATAGATCCTTTTTTATTTTTAGGTTTAATTAACTTATATATACCAGGATTTTTCTCTATTTACTAATCTCTAGAAGCTAT